TGGGGCAGGGGGGTGGGGAAGGGGAAGAAAGCACTGTGGGAAGGGGGGTCCTTTGCTCCAGATGTGGTTTTAACCTCAGGCTCTGCCTGAGCTCCCTGATCCGGCCTCTGCCCTGAGCTGCTCCCGCAACCTCCTGGCTCGACCTCGCACCCATCCTATCGATAGTCAGGGCCCCTGGCTCACCTGGCCGGGGCGCCCCAGCAAGCAGCAGCACAAGCCTTTGCGTGGCCCAGAATAAATCCCTGCTCAGTTCTGTGAACAGAGCTCTTTAAAAAAACCACGCATGTAGGAGGGGACATTTCCACCTTTAAAAATATATCTTAACTCTTCTATAAAGGCTCCTGAAAGGAAAGAGAGGCAGGGGAGAGGAAAAATCCACAGCTCTCATACGCCTCACAATGAAGAAACTGTTCAGGAAGAAGCACCTGATTTTCTTTCAGGAATGAAATATCCTGACATCAATTTTCAGGTGCATGAGCACTGTAAGTTTGCTACCAGGCTCAATATTCCTCACTTAAATCAGATACACAATACAGAATTTGGTGACAATCTAAGTAACACAGTTGTAGTTGGTTGGTTTTGCTAACTGATGTCTGCTCTAAGCTTATAACACTAATGTTTGAAATTTAGGAGTGGGCCCATCACTGGCAAGCTGACAGCTCCCCAGATTGACAAGAATGCCATTAACATCTCTACTTCAAAAGCGTAGATTTATGTGATTTGCCAAACTGACCAGGGCTGTTGTAAAAATTTAAGTTAGCAGATATCACAGACCTGAGGCCATGGCTAAGAACAGCAGAGACCAGGCAATAAGCACAAGGTCCATAGTAGGGAGTCACACAGTTCTTCCTCCCTGTCTTTTGAAGACACACCATTTAAACATGTGATCCTGAAGCGGAGGCGTTCAAATCATGAAACAGTGTCAAGACTGGTTGATGCTCCGATATTCTAGTCTTGGCAATGTTCCTTCATATTTGATCATTCTTCTTTCCTAAAAATGGAAGGACCAAGAGGAGGTCCAAGAATCCCAACATGAACAAACTCCTGCTCCTCCTGACATATGGACACAGCAGGGAGCAGCAGGGCAAACCAGCAATGCTGCTGATTTTGCCGAGCTCAGTGCATCAGGTATTTGCTGCTTTTATAACTTAATTTAGTACTGAAACGGGCATTCACTGTTGGCACTGAAGATTCATATAATCTTTTATCAGCAGAGAGATAACGATAATTTATAAAATGTTTATAAACTCGTATAAGCAAAAAGACATTGCCATGATCAGCCTTTTAACAGCCAGGAAAGCTGCACTGCAGCATATAGGTCTCAAGAACAAATTAGGATGTGGGTTCTTTGCTATTAGCACAGCCCTGACTCATTAGGTAGAACCTACAAGGAAAAGACTTCACTTTTACTCTGGATCCCCTCTCTGTAATCCCTGTAGCTTTGAAAAGGAAATTCTGTTCAGGAGAACATGGCTGCTTGAACTAGAATTCAGCAAGGACACAGAGCATCTGTGAGAGAACCAGGAGGTGCTTCCCAACTATGTTATGAACACTTTAGTGCACTGGAACTGCTCACAGCACAATTACTACTACTGCAAGTATCAGGACTTCAGCCTTGCGCCATATGCAGAATATCAGGATGCTTCCTGCAGGCACCCATCCTGGGACATCTGCTCAGTTTCAATTAGAGCAAGAGTAACACTTAGGGAAGTGGTATCACCATCCCCTATTGCTCTTGGGAAAAAAGAACGTAAAAATAACTACTGTGCTCAGCTCTGCTTTATGAGCCGTGCTGGAGCAGACACAAGCACGGTCCTGGTTCTCTAGCTGGTCTCAAGCACACGTAACGTACGCAGCGCTTAGCTAACGTGCATCAGCTCAGCTCTAAAAGGGACTTCCCTTAAGACGCAGCCATGAAATGCACTTGCTTGTACACAGCTCTTGGAGCTGACCAGTTACCCTCTGGGTAAGCCGACTCCTACTCGCTTTTGTGATGGGTCAGACTACCAACAGAAGAAACACTAGAATCACATCCACTTCCTGAATTTGATTACTTGCCTATGGCCTTAAAATATGGAATTCAAGCTCCTACAAAACAAGTAATAATTTAAAAAACCCTCAATCCTAAAAATTAAGCTAACAGTCACAATGACACAGCTCCTTTTATTCAGCAACTTCAAAATACTTGGGAAGGCAAATGGATTCCATCACCTACATGTGCATAAAGTCACCGAGTCGATTCACCTAAGGTGATGTTGTTGGGTCTGGCTCCCTTGCACTTCACTTTGGCATTTAAGTGAGGTGTTTAAATTCGGAGCATTATCCGCGATCCTCAGAGCCCTCTATGGTCCATGAACGGCAACAGGAGGCTCTAGCAGGCGATTCCCACCCTGGAGCCCCAAGTCGTTTCTTGGGTACTGGTCTTTTCCTACCGACTTTCTCCAATGCTCCGGGCAGAACAGACCTCTTTGAAGATGCCCAGGAGTCTTCAAACAAGCGCAGGCCCTGTGTGACAAGTGGCATGAGAGGCGGTGACTCAGGACTGCTGGAGCGGGCGGCCTGCACGAAAAGCTCTGTGCAGCCTCCAGCACTGCCCACCTACAGCACACACACGACTCCATACATTAACTACTGATTTAACTTCAGCTAAGCTCATAAACGCCTGCTGTGTGATATTTTGATGCCAGTTCTGTAGCTGTTATCACTGAAGTCAGGTGGGCTACTGAAAGGTTCCTTCCATCCCAAGTATATCTGGGATATCACCTAGGAAGAACACTATGATGTTCAGTGTGAATCAGCACACAATGGTGACTTTCAAAGCACATATTAAATGATGTCACCTTTCATTAGTATATCCCTTCTTGCTCCCTCCCGGGCTCTCCAACGGTCTAGCTCACCATCTCCTAACTGACAAAAATAAAAAATACGTACATATATATATTTTTGGTGTATGCATATACATATATATATATATATATACAAAAAATAAATATGTCTCTGGATTAGAAAAACTAATGTGTGTTTTACATGTATATACATATACACATATGCACACAAACACACATGTACCTATAAATTAACATAGCAATTATTTTATTTAGGGTCATTATTAGGGTCATTCATTCATTTTAGAGTTATTTTATTAGGGCCATTCAAAGAAATTCTAGAAGAAATGCTAAAGTGCAGATTTAGAAACTAACTTCCATCTGACAAAATACCAGTGAACATAAACATATGCTTAAGGGTGTCTTTCAAAGTATTTTTATAGTGCTGCTTTGTTAAACTTATCGGGAACTCTCCAGAATTCCTGCGCCTGTGTGGCTATTTCCGTGTTAACAAGTGAGTAATTCACAAAAGCAAAGTGAGCGGCCGGGTCTCCTGCGCCCTGGGGTGGAATTACTCCGAATTCAGTAGGTGCAAGCCCCAAATGAAGCTTTCTCTTCCAGTGGCGCCTTTTTTAACATCTTATCTCCTGATATGGATAACATGGATAACAGCAGCTCTCTGTTCTGGCCTGAGCCCCTCTTCTCTACCCATCCACTTCTTTTCTTAAATATCCACCTTAATTTTCACAAAACTTAACAGAGGTTATTTTGCATGAGATCTCTGGTCCTTTGCCATATAACTGGCCAACAACTTCAGAATTTATCAGAGGAGGAGGATACACAGAAAAGCTAATTACATAAGATCTGTTTTCTTAGAAAAGCAAATGTATTAATCCTACTATTCGTTTCTTCCCTGTCTCAACAAATCAAGTACTTTTATCTTTAAATCAATAAAGGCAAAGAGAGAGGTAGATGAGACTACCAGAGTCACAGGAAAGGGTGGAACTAGAAATGAATTCTGCAGTCTATCAAGAGGCAGCGATGCTAAACCGCACGCACAGAGCTGTTGATGCATCAGTGTTTATTTTGACATATGTATCTGAGTTTGACACCCAAGTGTCAGCATACATTTCCCTTGTAGACTAACATACAATATTACTACAAATATAGCACCCGTATGTAAAGGTCTTCTACTTTTAACCTGGTAACACCAGATGCAAAAACATCTTGTAATGCCACTAAAACAGTATCTCTGAAGCAACAGCTCTGCTCCGGTCCAATCTGCCAACATCTGCAAGTCACAAACCCAGCAGGGACCTGTAGCCCAAGGATTTTAACATTTATGCAAGTATCAGAAAACACACATTCAGAGGCAACGTTTCTGACAGGTGCTACAGGTACACCCGGAACACTAACTACACGTTTTCATTTAAACTTGTAAGTAAAAACGTGCATCGAGCAGCCTGCAATACAACCCGCGCTGTGCCCCCGCACGGGCACAGGGTCAGCCGAAAGCGCTGCAGGAGAGCCA